CAAGGTTGTTGCAAGCCAATACAGTCCCAGGATATCCCAAAATCCCATGGCATTATTGACACCAACCTTATTAATATTATACTAGGGATATAAACAACCAGAAACTTAACTCAATCAGTCCCATAAAGTCTTTCAAGTGCAGACTAGATATGCTGCACGCCTTACCCTCCTGACTCCCAAAATATATCCATCAAGGCACATGTCAGGAATGCGATGAAATCCACTTGCTTAGGATGAGGGCAGCTCCAACTTTAAGATCATCAACATGATCCAAGACAAAGCAGCCTGTTTGATTTGTAACCTAACCATGACCTCAAATATTCACTCCATTCACTACAAGCACACAGTGGCTTTAACATGTCGTGTCTACAAGCAGCAATTTGCTTAGGTTTCTTCAAGAGCAGTTACCAAATATACAACCTCCAAGTATCACATCATTCTAACTTGGAAACCTATCACCATTCTTTCACTGTTGCAGGATCACAATCCTGAAAATCTTTACTGAACAGCATTGTGACTGTACCCTCACCAGAAGGGTTACTGATTTATGAATGCAGATTACCATCACTTTTCCAAAACCTGGTCAGAAGGGGAGTAAGTGCTGGCCTCACCAGTGATGTGCACATGCCCTGAATGAATGGAAACAAGTGTCCACGTCTGATAGTGGAAATTCCTCATTTGGCTGTAATCAGATACACCACTCCAACACTCGGATTACTTAACTTAATAGACGACATTAGACTGAACATTAGTCCAGATACCATGAGTGAAAAGAGCACCATTTAATTTAAATTTAAAACTCTAATATGAAGAATGCATGTGAAGGCAATGCACATCGTGCTTGAGCAATCAAATTAGTAAGTTAGCAAATACTCCAAATTATTAAACTGACCTGGGTCTTTTCGCCCTGGTTTTTCAAACCGCCGCTCTCCCCTATTAAAAGTAAAAAGAACTTAAAATTTCCTTCTAGTTAAGAGCCACAGTACTAACGTAATTAACAGATTACTCAACATTAGAACCATTTTGGACAACTGACAAAGAATGCTTTTAATTAAGCCAAACTACTACTTTTTACTGTCATTAGGAATCCTCCACACAGTCTCAAATTTATGAATCAAAGGTATGTTCCAGGGATCCAATATTAACTCCTGGAATTAAAGATTGTTGTTTGAAATTGACAATATTGCACTTACTCTAAATATTCTACTGAAATCAAAATATGGGGCTTTGTATTTCTATACTTACTGGTCCATCATTCATGGTACTGTTAGTGATGAGTCAGCAAACACTATCTTATGCAAATGAAGGAATGAAACATCAATAGAATCTACAAAAAGATGAACTAAATTGTAAAATCTTTTTGATTGCATCTGGGAATTGAAAGCAACCGTGCAAAACGTGATGCAGTAAGTTTCAGTGATGGACAACACCAGTGTGATTAGTATTTACTGGGCACAGTCTTTTAATATACAGATGTATTCTGAATATGATCAGAGAATTTATTTATTCTTACAGACAACAATGTTAACTCAAATCCAAATGGCCCTTGGTTATTCTCCTTTAAAACTGCCCAATCCATACTGGAATGCAGGTATGCTGCACTACTTTGCAAGGGAGAGCAATTTCATAATTTCCAAAAATAACTTAACAATTGAGTGCAAATAAAGAACAAAAACTTTATGTTGTCGTTCTCAGATCCTCTGAGGCTCCCAAACATTTCACACTGAAATGCCTTTTCATGTGTAGTTATTATTGTTTACATGTTTGCCTACACTGCACTGTTTCACATTGTATGTTTAGAATTGTTTTTAAATTTAAAAACAAAAAAGTCAAACACAAATAAGCATTTATCAAAACACTGGCAGCAGCCCTGAGATACCTATGTTGTAATTTCACAAGTTCAAACATTTAAAAAGGAATAGTTAGTTATAATGTGGTAACACAGGGACAGTATGTTGAGGCATTATTTTCTAGTCCCTCTGTAGGATGAAATTTAGAATGGGAAGTGTTAATCTAGTTTCTTCCATTGTAAAGCAGCAAAAGCTTCACTATTTAATCTTAAATAAAATTGAAGTGCAACACTAACCAAAATAAACCCTTCATGAATAACTTTAATGGAGAAAATTTCAAATCCGTTCACTATTCCCTATATCAATTCTTTAAAGCTAAGTTCAGCATAAACCTGTTAGAAATACAAGTTTAAACATTGCTACTGAATTCAAGGTGCTGACAGAACTGGATAGGGACAAAAGCGCAACCACAAGGTAAGTACTCAATTTACAGGACATGTGTGAACTTTAAGATTAACAAAAAAATACTGCGGCATTAAATCTGTTGGCTACTCAGTTTCTCATGTACAACTACTGCTCTCACTAGTAATACTGCCATTTTAAACTACTTTAAATAGTTGTGGGTATACTATTTACTTTTGACCCCTCCACCTCTTTTAAACAAAAATATGTGGACATTTACACAAATGAAATAATATTAATCTGCTGTATATGCATACAGATTTTCATCTTTTTTGATCGGTTTGTCGTGAAATTATGTAAAGAGTGAGTTTCAATTAAAAATTAAAACTTATAGAAGCAAATCAAAAATTGTAACACTATGCTTCCCAAAGGGCTGCTCAAAGCTCTGGACAGATCCTATGGTGCAAGTTCAAAGCTCTGAAAGCTTGCATATTTGGAGCTGTTGGGAGGAAACAGAAAGCACATTGTCCAAATTCGTAAACGTCAATTTATTCTACTAATCCAAACAGGCAATTGCCTTCTAATATTTTTGTAGAAAGATTTCAATTCTCTCACCTTGACTTATAAAATATTATCACTTTACTATGAACATTACATATCTTACAAAAATAAATGTAAATAAAACTCTACACATGAAGTTCAAAACTACAATGATGCACTTTAAGCTAACAAAGATATAATCATGCTTTTACTTTGCAGTTAATAACTGCACACTATTCTTAAAATTCCATGTTAACTACTTGGTTCCAAGAGTTGAGAACATTCTAAAGTAAACTTTCTCATGCCTGAGAAGTTAACATCTACTACCAATAAGCTTCAAATATATAGCACAGTACAAAATATGCTTTGGGTAACTGGCAAAGGTGAATCACTTGCTTTACCTTATGAGTAAGCTGGGCAATGGAACTAATTGGTTGCTCTTTCAAACAATCAGCCAAGGCCGAATACCCTCCATCTGGGTTGTATGATTTGAGAGTCTAAATTAAGGGCTCCAACAAACCCATGATGTTGAATTTAGAATTTCTGGATAGACGTATGGCACATAGCTCACTTGGCAATTATTCAAGAAGATACTGACGCAAACTGCAAATTTAAAAGCACAACTACAGCATATTCTGACACAATGGAACGCACACATTTGCAAAACAGATTAAATAAGGAGAGTCTTCAGTATTATTTTGGGAATTTTTTAAATACAATTTAATTGCTATTGGGATAATTACACTATTACAATAAAATATTTCAATTCTGAAATCATAGTAAATATCAGGGGGAAGAGAGCAACACTGCTGCTATGCAAATGCAATGTTAAATTAGAAAAATGTTTCAAAATGTTTCAAAGATAAAAGGACAAATTAGGTTTGCAGCAGCACATAATCTAAAGTAGAACAGCAGCAAATGATATTATGAATAATGAAAATTGAAATAGGAGGTCCATGTTATAGAGAAGATATAATTTACAAAATTCACTCCACAATAGAACAGGATGCTGAGGTTACAAACTCAGTCCAATTAAACCACGCACAGTACTTCCAAAAGAATGAAATGGATGGCAAGTTTATGGACTGTGTGTCAGGCTTCTAAGATAATGGTTTCTGCCTTCGTAGTGTTAGGATGGAGCTAAAATTACAGTTTAGAAACTGAACATCAGAGAAGCACATTGACACGAGTGGAATCTGACATCAATATGTGGTCTCATGTCTTGAAATGAAATTGACATATTCCTGGAAATTCTCAAAGTAACAGAATTGATGGCAAAACCAATCACTAATGGAAAAGCTCTCGACAAGACAACCCTTCATAGCAAGGTAATGGAGATGATAAAGGATAGAAAAGGATGAACATATCCAATTATTTTAAGATTGTTTTCACAGTAATGACAAAGAATTAACTCAATGAGAACCAAGCTATCACAGTATCACTGGAAGATCAACTCACCTTTCCTCCCAACTCTGTGATCTGTGCATTTCTCGAACTCCTCGACCAAAACCCCCTTCACCTTCGTCAAAACTTCTTTGGTAAAAACCACTTTCACCTCGCCCTCGACCTGATGGAAGACATAATAAAGGCTTACAGATTACTTAAGAAGAAACACTTAAAATTTCCTGTTATATTTTTTCTCCTGCAATATATTTAAATGCTGTATGTTTCAACATATATCTTAAAAATAAAGAAACTGGCAGTATTAAGTGCTTAAGACTTAACTGCAAAAAATGCAGCATATAGCAAGAAACTTTCAAATGGGGTCAGGAATTGAGTCCAATCCAAATGAAGGGGGAGAGAGAGAAGCTCTGCCAATCAGAAATATCCCACATAATGTGACTTTACAGTAGTCCTTATGAATATGTAAAAAATGGCCATAGTATGAGTAACCATATGCAAGTTTCATCAAAAGACAAAATTCATTGCATAGGTGCAGAGGTTGTTAAGGTATCCATAACAGCACTTACTGTTCAATCTCTCAGATTTAACAACCTAAATTGGCCAATACACTGTTGCTGGCACTTACTATTCTGAAAAGAGGTTTGTTAACATTTCCTTGACATACTCAACGTGACCTCACTGAAGAATTCTAAAGCATTACACGATGTCACTAAAACATCTGCTCTTTATTAAAGATTTTGTCATTTGCAATCTCAACAGGTGACTTGTATTGATATTAATGCACACAAATATTGATCCAGCATGGGCTCAACATGCCAAATGCATGGTATAATATTTCTATCAAACTGTTCAGAGATGTTATTATACATCTCTGGAGCAGGTGAGGCTTGAACCTGGGCCTCCTGGGTCAGAGGTGAGGACACTACCACTACACCACAAGCACCCTCCTAATGCACGGTTTTCTGTGACAGTCACAATTCCCCATTTCCTTCCAATTACACATTATCCACATTGCATTTGCACAAGGTGTTCTTTAGGCATTCTGGTATAGCATTCCATTTATGTTTAACCCCTTTCACCCTTTTTTTGGCTTCCAAGCAAATAGTTATTTTTGAATAGTGGTGTTATTACCACTGATGTCAATTCCAACTTTCTTTCAAGAGAAAAGAACTCCGAATTAAGGAACTTCTCACAAAAGTGAGTGGTGTCCCACAGGGTTTTGTTATGTGACTGCTTCTGCCCACCACATAAATCAAAGGTTTAGACATGGAACTGGTGAGTGATGTCTAAACCTTCACAAAAACAAACAGGATACACAACAAATACTTTTGCTTGAAAAACAAACTTTAAATATATTATTGACGCAGTAAGAATGGGCGATGAGGAGAGGAGGATTAGGTATACATGGGGAGAGCAGCACTTTAAGCGGACATGCTCGTAAAAATGCAGATAGAATACGGTTTTATTGCAAGACACCGAATATAAAGATTTAATGTTTTGGTGAACCTACATAAAATCTCAGTAATATCAGAACCACATGTATTACCAGGCAAAGTTAAAACTAATGTTCCGATCAATGCTAATATTTCCCAGAACAAACTTTAACATGACCTTAACTCTCAAATAATCAAACCAAAAATAAAGTATCTGAGTCAGCCAGAAATCTGGAGTACTGTGCACAATATTGGTTGGCAAAGGAAAAGTAACAATACAGGACTTGAGGCCCTGTAATTGGAATGAGTATACTTTAAATCTATTGGAGGGCAAGTCTGGTGCCAGCAGCCGCAGTAGGATCTTGGGATCGAGTTGGCGGTCCGCCGCAAGAAAAAAAAACTGAAAAATAAATTTTTGGACATTATTTAAAGGAAAGATAAATGGACATTATTTGTGTGCATTAATATCAATACAAGTCATCTGTTGAGATTGCAAATGACAAATACCTTTGGAGGTAGTTCTGAGAAGGTCTACTAAACTAATAGCTGGAATAGATTAATTATCTTATGAGGAAGCATTGAACAAACCAGGTTTATATCTGCTCAAGTTTAGAAGATTAAGAAGTGCCTTGATTGAAAAATTCAAGATCCTGGGGGATCTTGAAAAGGTAGATGTGGAGAGGTGGTGGTTTCTCATTGGACAATCTACAACTAGGGGCTCACTGTTCAGAAATATATTACCTCTGGACAGTCCTAAAATCTAACCTCAGAAAAGGCTGGGAGAAGTGTCAATTAGTAAAATGTGGCGAGTACAATGATGCATGCACTTTGCATTCTTATGCAAGTGTGCTGCCAACCTCTTGCTTAGTACAGGCACAGAGTTCATGTTGTTATTCAATCATTTTTAAGTTTACTTGCAATGTAGAGATTCAGAATGAATAATGTAGGCAATTGGCTAGTATTATTTCTACAGTTTTGTTGTTACTCTGTTGTTACTCATGATGACCACAAAGGGAAAACCTTAACTGTTGGGGTCAGCCATTATTCGAATCAAAAAAAAACTTAACTGTGGTAGTAAGCTAGTCACCATTAAGGCAAAATTAGGAAGCCAATGCCCATGATCTGTTTGAAACATGAAATTCAAGATGAAATTCACTGTTTACTGGTTACATGCTGAAATAAGAGCAGCGCCAGACTAAGTATATTTTTATAAAACTGTTATTTTTAATGCAAAAAAGGTTCTATTAAAGTGAGTAAATCCAAGAGATTACACTCAACCTCTCAGTGCCACAAGATTTTCAGTCTACAGATGGTTTAATAAATGCATTGCCCATTTCCATCAATATCAATGACTGCAGATGATAGGACACCAATGCTGATCCTTATGGACAGACTTCAATCGTATCATTGTAAAAAGTTCCATACAAAAGCCACAGTCTAATTTTGGTTAGTGACGGAGGGGTAAAAGAAAGGGCAATGATCTAATGAAGGTGATATAAAAAAATTGGATAAGCCTTGCATCAAGATGCACATACTAACTGACATAAGGTTAATCAAGTCGGAATCACATTACCAATGTAAAATCAAATAGGATTCAAATGAAAAATACTGCAGTATTTTATGCAGAAAAGCTCACAGAAACTACTACAGGCCCTCAGAGGACAAAATTCTGTTTATTTGCTATGACAAGTGAGCTTGACAGTCACCACCTCAATTGCATAAAAGCAGTAATCAAAATATTATTTGAAAAAGGTTCATATTAATTAACTCCACTACTGAACTTGGACGAAAGTATTATTTGTTTGTCTCTTTCTAAACAACACAGCTCAAAAGCTGATGGATAGATTTGAATAAAACTTGCTACACAAGTTGGGTATGGCCCAAGGAAGAACTGAGAAACATGTGGTGCGTATGTTGAACGAAGGAATCAATTCATTGATATAGTGCGAAGTGACTTTTTTTATACAAAAAAAGTCATAGCTTGTTTGACTTAGAACATTGTAGAACAGTCAACTTTCTGGTTTGTCACAACTGTCAAAACATGAGCACAGTGCTCAGAGCAAGTTGCTGGATACAGACTGGCCTGAAGCTTCTCAACAAGATGGATGAAAGTTACTTTGTTTTCCACAGATGCAGTTACAGAGCATTCAACAGACAGGGAAAAGTCAAGAAAACTTGCCATAGTAATTATTTTCAATTAGCCAAGCATGGCCGAGGTGCAAGTTTTGAGGGTTGTTTTCACTTTTATTAAATTCATTCATTCATTCATAGATTTGGTGCATTAATGCCAATGCCAGCATTTACTGACTGATACCCAATTGCCCTTGAAAAGATGCTGGCAAGCTGGCTTCTTGAATTGCTCTAGTCCATGTGGCATAGGTATACCAAAAATGCTGTTAAGGAAGGAGTTCCAGGATTTTGATCCAGCTACAGTGAAGAAATGGCAATTTAGTTTTAACTCAATGGTATATCACTTGGAAGAGAACTAGGTGTTTCTACGTGTGTGTAATCCTCGTGGAGGGTTTGAAAAGTGCTCAGCCTTGCCGAGTTGCTACAGTGCATCTTATAGATGGTTCACATGGCTGCCACTGAGCATCAGTGATGGAGGAAGTGAACATTGAAGATGGTGGTTGGGATGCCAAGAGAGCTGCTTTGCACTTGATAGCGTTGTGCTTCTTGAGAAATGTTGGAGCTGCAGTTGCCCAGGCAAGTAGAAAGCATTCCATTACTCTCCTGACTTATCTTATACCAGGTTAACAGGTTTATATATTTATATGCAGGAACAGTTCAGTTTCTGGTCAATCACAACTCCTAGGATGTCAGTAAGAGACTCAGCAATAGTAGCTGAACATCAAGGGGCGATGGTTGAATTCTCTCGTGAGATAGTTATTACTTCGTAGTGATGTGGTACAAATGTCACTTTCCATGTATCAGCCTAGGCCTCAATATTGTCAGGTTCTTCTACATTTGGAGTTGCAAAGGCTGCTGAACACTATGCAGTGAACTTCTAACCGGATGATGGAGGGAAGGTGATCAGGTCAAGAACATTTCAGGTGTTCCTCAGAATAATGACATCCTGCGGTTGAGATGCTTGACCTCCATCCAACAACTATAACTATCTTACATTATGCTTGATGTAACTCTAACCAACTGGGAGATGACCCCTTCAATCCCAGGCACCAGCTTCATTAGGACTCCTTGGTGACACATTTGGCCAAATACTGCCTTGATATCAAAGACAGTCACATACACTATCCCTCAAGGTTAATTCTTTTGTCCATGCTTGGAACAAAGTTTTGAGGGGTCAGGAGCTGAATGAGCTTGGTTGCATCTAAGTGGAACATTAGTGAACAGATTATCGTTGAGCAAGTGTTGACTGATAACATCGTTAATAGACCTTCCATCACTTTGATGATGAGCAAGAGCAGACCAATAAGGCAGTAATTTGCTGAGTTGATTTTAGCTAGAAGTCTTTTGGTCATTAAGTATCTTTGCAGAGAGATGTAGAATTAAAATCTCAGGGAAATGACCTTTCAGAATTCTGTTCCGAAGAAATTTCTGAAAATTCAATGTGAAATGTACATTCTGCTTTGTTCCCCATTAATGATGCTCAGGGCTGCTGACTATTTCTAGGATTTTCAGTTTTTCTTTATATAACACTGCTATATCATCAGGATATCCTAAAACACTTCATAATCAATGAAGTATTTTTGAAGTGTACCCTCTATTA